TTACTGAGCTATTTGCTTTAGTCTGTCTCCTTTCTGTTCAAATGTAAGTGCCAAGAGGGTGGATTTTTTTTTTCTTTCTTTAATCTATCCTTTTTTCTTTCCACTGATGCATACTGAGTACCTAGAACAGAAGGTAGGCATTAAATAAATAATTATCCAATGAATTAATGATGTAGTATTTTCCATACATTATTAAATATATCTGTTTGCCCTCTGTTTTTTACAATACTGTGAACATTTTGAGGTCAGTGACTATGCCTTATTCATAGTATTTATAGCACCAAGGACTATGCATGGCAAAGAAAAGGACTTCAATGAAATGTATATACTGAATGAATAGCAGGAGAGGACAGAAGGGATAGACTAAGTTTTGTCGGGTTTCTATTCAATTCAGCAAGCACCTTTGCATAGATGAATCAGACACTATGCCTGATTTAGGAAAAAACCCACATTTCAGTTGGGGAGAGACAAACATAAATATTTACCCTTTTGCAATATGATCACAATTGTAATGTGGAAACCCATTATCCATTACCTAGAGTTGATGCCAACTCTAGCAACTCTATAGTGGGAGCTCTGATAGCGTAGTGCCTAAGGCACTTGACTACTAACCAGAAGGCTGGCGGTTCAAACCCACCAGCCACTCCTCGGAAGGAAGGTTGGGCAATCTACTTCCGTAGTGATACTGCCTTGGAAACCCAAGGAAGGGTCACTATGAGTTGGGTCCAACTCGACAGCACATAACAACAACATAGTTCAGAGCAGAAGTGCTCCATGGGGTTTCCAAGACTACAATCTTTATGGAAATAAGTTTCCACATCTTTCTCTCATGGAGCAGCTGGTGGGTTCAAACCACTGACTTTTCAGTTAGCAGCTGAGAACTTAACCACTGCACCATCAGCCCTCTTGTGATGAGAAAAAGGTCAAGGAAAAGAACCAAGATGGGGAGTTGGGGAAAACAACCAAAGGGTGGTAAACATGTGCTTTGCTAGCTTAATAGGAGATTGCCACACAGACTGTGGTGAAGGAAACAGTCCAAGCTCAGCTGCTCTCTGCCCAGGGTATGTATACACAAGCTCCCCAAGGTAGTCCCTGATCTTCTCTAAGAACTCCTTCCCCTCCTAAGGGCTTACTCCAAGGTCACACTCTCCAAGGATACTTGGTAAATAAACATTAGCAAACTGAATAGCTATAGTCCTACATCTTCCTCTTCCCTCTCCCCTACTCAAAGAAAACTCCAGATCTGATAATGGAATTATGCAATGGCTCCACTAGCTGCCACCCTGGGTAGTTACAGCAAGGGTCACATATAAACATCATTTCCAGACTCATCAATGCCTGACATAACAGTAAACAGAACCAGACCACTTCACTTAGAAACCCAAAGAAACTGCCAAAAAACAAAGATGCGAAAATCAATTTTGAAAGTGCTAGAGCTTTCCGACATCAGAGCCAACTATGGAAACAGTGTGATACATATGTAAATATGTACATTCTTTGTCAGAACATTAAATCATAGCCTGAGAGCTGACTTCCTGAAGGGGAAAGCTGGGCAGGCCACAGGACCCTCAGCAGTTTCTCAGACCAGAGAAGCGTGGACACCAGAGAAACTGCTGAAGAGAGAAAAATCCATCCTGGCTGGGAGAAGATACCGTGACCTCATAGGCCTTTTCATTTTCTAGTGCCTATGATTCACTGTGGTTGGAACAGGCTGTTTTCACCCATCTTCTAAAGAGTTTGAGAATAAACTTGTCTCATTCATTAGCATTTGCTGCTCACCTAATGGCTTTAGTTGAATGGGAGGAATTCCATACACACCATGTACTTTCACATTTCCACCCACTGCCCCCACCTCAGGCGTACACATGCGTTTACACGTGTATCACATGCCACAATCAGAATTCCAAAGCTCCCAGAGCCAGGCTAGTCCTGAAACCATCTTTTCACTGCCCTAGAAAAGAATGATTGCTTACTATGCCATTAATTTCCATCAAGGCCCATGGTAGCCTCTTAAAAATGATCACAGAAGTCTCTCCTTCTCAAGTCTAGTTCAAATATATAATTCAAGGGGACAGTCCCCACTGACAACAGGAATAATCAGGAACTAAGCAGTACTGACTGCAGTTTCTCCTCTCCTGCTACATTTTCACTACTTTTCATCTTCTCCTTCTAATCCTGGGTGGTGTAAATGATTAATGCCCTGGCTATTAACTGAAAAGTTGGAGGTTCAATTCCACCCAGATGTGCTACAGAAGAGAGACTTGGTGATCTACTTCTGAAAAATCAGCCATTGAAAACCCTATCACATTCAGTTCTATTCTGATACACATGGTGTCTCCAACAGTTGGAACTGACTTGATGGCAATGAGTCTGGTCTAAATCTCTGTTGCTTCCTTTCCTTCTCCCCATTTTATTCCCATTCCCCTCAGTCTACCCTCTTCTATCCTCATTTATTTAAAAAGTGAAATAGTTGTGATAAAACAGTTTGACACAACAACTGTTATCATGGAAAGACTTGAAGGGCAGTGAAGTGCCACCAAAGTAATTTGAAGTTTCCCATAATTCTCTGGTGCTCCCCAAACTGGTTTAGTTTGAAGTCTGCTTTTTCTTCAGCCTGCCTGGGAAGGTTACTTTGTTGTCTCCAAAGATAAAAAGGAATAATGCTGATTGTACAACACTGCTTCTTCTTTTTCATGGTTGACTTAAGATTCTCATTAAGAAAGGCCATCATGGTTTGTATAATGAGATATAGCCTTGGTCTCCATTCTCTGAGACTCTTTTCTAACCTCATTCCCCACCCCCACCCCCCGCTCTCAAGCCTACCTAGCTTGTATGTCCTTGTTTTTTTCCCACCTTAGGGCTTTTATACAAGCAAAACTGTCACATGGCTAGCTCCTTCAGACATTAAGGTCAATGCCCAAATGTGTTCTCCCATCCTCCTAATCTAATCCTACTTCCCTCCTCACCTTTTGTTACCCTTGATTGCATGCCCACATTTTATTTTCTTCATAGTACTTACCATGATCTGAAATGACCCTGTTTATTTGTTTGCTATTTGTTACTCTAAGTAACATGCAAGCTCCATGAGGGCAGGGCCTTTGTTTGCTTTGTTCACTACCATAGCTCTGTACTAGACCAGCAAGCAGCTGGTACAGAGTAAGCACTTAATATACATCCATCCGGAGAATGAATGGATACATTAAATGTGATGGTTAAGTTTATGTGTCAGTTTTGCTGGGCTATGTTTCCCCATTGTTTGGCCAAACACCAGTCTAGTTATTATGGAGTAGTTACATGTGATTAAATCAGTTGGCTTTAATAAAGTAGATTATTTTCCTTAATGTATCTAATGTAATACAGTTAATCAATTAGTTGAAGGCCTTAAGAGCAAAAGGAGCTTTTTAGCGTGTCTTCTGCTTTTAGACTATAAACAGGTATTTTGGCAGAAGTCTCACTTCATTATTCCAATTGTCTGACCTAAGGACCCTGGGACACAAGCCTTTAGAAGTCTCCAGCCTATCACATGACCCATGGATTTTGGATTTTCCTGCCTCTCACAATCACAAGAGCCAAGTTTTTGAAGAAAATCAAACAAAAACGAATGGTTCATGAGATTATAAAAACCCATTGCCATCGAGTCAGATCTGACTCATAACGACCCCTCCTTGGGTTTCTGAGGCGGTATCACTATAGAAGTAGATTGCCCAACCTTCCTTCTGAGGAGTGGCTGGTGGGTTTGAATTGACAGCCTTCTGGTTAGCAGTCAAATGCCTTAGGTACTATGCCACCAGAGCTCCCCATGAGATTATAGGGTCTGGCAAATCCAAAATCTATGGGTGAAAGGAGGAACTCTGGTAGCATAGTGGCTAAAGCACTTGACTGCTAACCAGAAGGCTGGCGGTTCAAACCCACCAGCCACTCCTCAGAAGGAAGGTTGGGCAATCCTACTTCTGTAGTGATACTGCCTCGGAAACCCAAGGAGGGGTCGCTATGGGTCGGGGCCGACTCGACGGCACACAACAACAACAACAACAACATGGGTGAAAGGCTCACAGATACATACATACACACACACATGCATCTGGTTCTGTTGGTCCTATTTCTCTAGATAACTCTAAGATACTAATTTGAATGATGGTCTCAAAAAAATTTCTCATATAGTTCCAGTGACCTTCTTTCCCAGATCACCCAAGGACAGAAAACAAATCTCAGTATCCAAATGTCTAGTTCTTTGCCAGTAGTCTTCTCCACAATGAGTATGTTTAGCCCAAAGAACTGGGGGTTCTGAGTTGATCATTATATAACAAAAGATTTTTTTTTTTTTTTTTAAGGAAAAACTTTAATTCTTGCTTTAGTCAGTACAGAGCAGCGTGAGTTGATTCAATTTGGTGACTTAATCGAAGTTTAAACCAGAATCCTCAAATCAGTGTTTTATGACTGCTTCTATTTCAACATTTTAAGTGTTTTATTTGTGTCTGTAGTTTATTGTTATCTCAGTCTCTTACTGTAAATCATTCAAAAAACCGGCCCTGGTATTAGAGCCTGGGAATTCATACAAATCAACTCCCCAGTCTCCAGTGAGGCCAATACCCAAACCAAACAGGATTTCTACTCAACTGTTAAAAGGTTTCAGGGGAAATCACTTCCCTTCAACTTCCCTTCTAACTCATTCCAGTGTCTCTCAATCTTTTTATTCTACCCTCAAGGGAAATAAAGGCAGCTGTGATCATGAGCCAGGCTCAAATTCTTAAGACAGACGAAGTTGACATAAGAAACACACATACACACTCTCTCACACTCATACACATTCATACAATCTCTCCCACACTTATTCATTCACATCACTTACACACTCTCACACATACACACACTCACTCTCACACATGCACACATATTCACACACACACTCATATACCTGCACACATACATGCATTCTCTCTCTCTCTCTCACACACACACACACACACTCATACATATGCATATATACATAGTATACGTACCTACATAACCTGGGGTTCCACAGGCTGTGGACATCACATCTCCTTTACCCTCCATTTTTGACAATCCAAAGTCACTGATCATTATTTTTGACTCCTCATCTTGACTGTAGTACAACAGATTTTCGGGCTAGAAGCAAAATAAGAAAAAAATGTACAAACTATGTTTAAGCCTGGGTTAATTGTGGGAAACTACAAACCACAATGCCAAACTATAAAACTTGTTCATAACAATTTAAGAATACACTTGACCTTTAGACTTATTAAACACATCAATAAAAACATTGTTTAATGGAAGCAATGTGTAGGGCCCTGCACAGAAGCTTTCACAAGTAAGTTTCCAATAAATATTAGTATCTTTCCCTTTCTAGTATTTTCTCTACTTAAAAAATTAACAATATTTTGAGGCAATCTAGGAAATAAAATAATTTTTCAGGTGTTATTGGAACCAACTTGATTTTAGTTGGTTTGGTTTGGTTTTGGGTGCTGTCCAGTTGATTCTGACTCCTAGTGACCCTATAGGACAGAGTAGAACTGCCCCAGAGGGTTTTTCTAGGCTGTAATTTTTACAGGAGCAGATCACCAGGTCTTCATCCTACAGAGTGCTGGGTGGGTTTGAACCAGTAACCTTTCAGTTAACAGCCAGGTGTTTAACCATCGCCATCAGAACTCCTTTTTAGGTGCTGCACAGTTGTTTTGTTTTTTTTTCCATTGTCTTTTTATTATTATTATTATTAGTGACCCTTGTTATCAGCCTTTCTTTACTACAGAGGTCTCTCTCCTGCTTTCAGCAACATCCAGTGGTGTCCTGCAGTTCCCCTTTACTGAGGCCAGCTGACAACTGCTCATCCCTGCTCTGAGAAGCAGAGGGATGGGATGTTGTCACAGAATGTCCAGCACTTTCTAGCCATGTGCCCTTAAGTACTTTGAGCTTTTGTTTGCTTTTCCTGTAAAACATGGGCAGTGATGTTTGCTTCCCTGTACAGAATATGACAGTAATAAAGCACTACACACAGCAAAGGTATTATGGTTTCTGTCTCCCCTGGGTCATGTCTATATAGGAGGGGCTTAGGGGCAGCAGCCTTGAGGTTAAGGAGAAATCTTAAAGCTTCATTTGCCCAGTGTTTTATATAAATTGGGGAATCTGTCATTGTTTCTAGCAAAGAATGAGTAAAAGTCTTATGGAAATTGAAGAAGGATCCACAGCCTCAGATCTGGCCTTCATTTTGCATCTCCTGCACTGCCCTACTGAGAACCGGAACACAGAGGAAAAAACCCACTGCTGTTGAGTCAATTCTGACTCATAGTGACCCCCATAGGGTTTCCAAGGGGGTCTTAATTCAGACAAAAACCAAAAAGAGCAAACTCACTGCCATCGAGTTGATTCCCACTCATAGCGACCCCCATTGGGTTTCTGAGGCAGTAAATCTTTACAGAAGTAGATTGCCCAGTCTTCCTTCTGTGGAGTGGCTGGTGGGTTTGAACAACCAACTTTCTGGTTACCAGTCAAATGCCTTAGGCAGTGCACCACCAGAGCTCTTTTAACTCAGACAAGGGATTGCCAAAGGCCAGGAATACTTCTCTATACATTCCTCCTACAGGAGGTCCATTTGGGTTAATAAAGTGTTCTTTTGAAGAATAAGTACTGCCAAGGAGGATTAAATTTAGTGATCATTAAATTTAGTGATCATGCAGGTGAGGGCAGCAGAGAGGGAATCCTGCCCACGTTGTATGGCAATTTAGCTTGGTGTCCTGTAATGTCTGGATTTGCCTGAAAAATTATTTTTTCTGTATATTATGGATTCTTTGTGGCCAATATCTGAGTTGGAAGGTCAAATCAACCCTTTAGTAGTTCACATAAAAGACTTTAAAATTATCTGAATAAACAGTTCCAGCACTTTTAAATATTATACTCCTAATCTATTCAAGGGAGCTCTGGTAGCATAGTGGCTAAAGGCAATTGACTGCTAACCAGGGGGCTGGCGGTTCAAATCCACCAGCAACTCCTCGGAAGGAAGATGGGGCAATCTACTTCCGTAGTGATACTGCCTCGGAAACCCAAGGAGGGGTCGCTATGAGTCGTGTTTGACTCAACGGCACATAACAACAACAACAACAATCTACTCAAAAAAACCAAACTCACTGCTATTGAGTTGATTCTGACTCACAGGGACTCCCGTTGGGTTTCCAAGGTGGAAAATCTTTACGGAAGTAGATTGCTCTATCTTCCTTTGGCAGAGTGGCTGGTGGGTTTGAACCAACAACCTTCTGGTTAGCAGTCAAATGCCTTAAGCATTGCACCACCAGAGCTCCTTACTCCTAATTTAGTGGTTCTCAATTTTTCCCCTGGGAAGAGATTTGGCAATGTCTGGAGACATTTTTGACTGTTACAACTCTGAGGGTGTTACTGGCATCTAGTGGGTGGAATCATGGGATGCTATTAAACAACGCACAGGACAGCCCTTCACAACAAAGAACTATCTGGCCCAATAGGTCAATAGTACAGTGATTGAGAAACCCTGTCTTAATCCGAGGAGGCAGTAATAGGCACTTCTTGTCTCAGTCCCTTCAAAAAAACAACTGTCTTTAGAAGCTTCTTCAGCCAACCAAGCATAAGAGTCCCTTTCTGGAGGGAGTAAGAGGTATGTATGGCTGTCAGTATACTACTCCAGATTGAGCACTCATCTTAAATTAATGTGATTATGTTCTCCATTGCTCTAGTCTAGCAGGTTATATAGGTTGTTTTAATTTTCTTAAATGTTCATGGAAATTTAATGTTCCAAACACAACATCTTCCACAAATTCCTCTGTGCCTCTGAAAAGAGATCATAGAAAGATCCTAAAATGGCAATGTTCTTTCCACAATTACAAGCCTGGTGATTCTAAAGCTCCCCAGGCTGGGAGTTGCAAGTACTTCTAAGAATGATGTAGGAGTGAAAAGCAGTATCTCCCATACCCAATCTGCTTTTCAAAGGAGAAATAAATGCTTCCCCCCATAGGAAATGTCTTATCTGCTTAGAAATTATTTCAATAAGAACAGACAATCAGCCCGCTCACACTGCATTTCTGTGGGCATCACATTAACTTGTTCAGAAAAAGTTGCCTGCTGTGTTTTGAAAGCACAGTATTGGCAATTGGCAGGAGCACAACAGAGTAGAGAAGTCCTGGCACAGAGAGGCAGGCCAGGTGGACCTACCCAGCCTTCTGAAGGGCCTACAATTAGATTAGCTAATCATCCTCACATCCATCAAAAAAACCTGCAAAGGAGGAAGGTGGTAAGGACTCATGTAACATTCCCAAGCACTCTAGTACAGTGGTATTAGCAAATGGTGCCCAGAACAGCATCAGTACCACCTACACACCTGTCAGAAATGCAAATCCTCAGACCTCACTATAGAGCTATAGAATCAGAAATTCCTGGGGGACAGCCAATACGCTGTGGTTTAACAAGCCCTCCAGATGATTCTAATGAATACTAACATTTAGGAACCACTGCCCTTGTCAATAAGGAGTGCTGATGGTAAACAAAAGATGGGCATATGAGGCGAACTTTTACATTAGGTAGATACATTCCTTGGAGAGAACAATCGTTGGAGAATAGAAGGGCTCTGTATGCACAGGGAGACAGCTCAGGGGACAGGAGTACATGGAAGGAAGGACATAGGGAAGAGGTAACTATGGGGAGGAAGTGGGGGGGACCTGTTGCACTGTGGTAAACTTTAGTTTATGTCATGAGACAAAGCATATGTGAGCTGCTGTATGGAAAGTGAATTTGCTCTGTAAACTTTCACCCAAATCACAATAAAAAAAAAAAAAAGTGTTGGTGTTACAGTGGTTAAAGCACTTGGCTGCCAACCATAATAAGGTAGGCAGTTCAAACCCACCAGCTGCTCCATGGGAGAAAGAGTTGGCAGTTTGCTTCCATACGATTCATAACCTTGGAAACCCCTACGGGGCAGTTCTACTCTGTCCTATAGGGTCACTACTGAGTCAAAATTGACTAGACAGCAGTGAGTATGGTGAAGTTTTTGCCTTTGTCAATAAGAAGCCCAGTGCTGCAGTAGTTAAAGTGTTGGCTGTTAACCAAAAGGTTGCAGTTCAAACTCACCAGCCACTCTGCAGGAGAACAATATGGCAGTCTGCTGCTGCAAAGATTTATAGCCACAGAAACCCTATGGAGCAGTTCTACTCTATGCTATAGGGTCGCTATGTCAGAATCAACTCAATGGCAGTGGGCTTGGTTTTGGTATTGGCCTTTATCATTGGGAGTCCTGGTGGTGCTGTGGTTAAACACTTGGCTGCTAACCTGAGTAATTGCCAGTTAAAACCCACCAGCTGCTCTGTGGGGGAAAGATGTGGCAGTCAGCTTCCAGAAAGATTTATAGCCTTAGAAACCCTACGAGGCAGTTTTTCTCTGTCCTTTAGTGTGGCTATGAGTCAAAACTGATTTGACAGCAATGAGTCTGGTTGGGTTTAGCCCTTGTCAACGGAAAATGATAACACAGAAATACCAAAAAGGAAGAGAAATTTTACAGTGAGTCTACATTGGGTGTGTGGGGAGGGGACGACAACAAACCCTTGAAACCCAGTACCAGATAATGGGCCAGTAAGCCAGTTGCCACTGATTTGATTACAGTTCATAGCAACTGCATCTGTGTCAGAGAAGAAATATGTTCTGGAGAGTTTTCAGTGGCTGATTTTTCCGAAGTAAACTATCATGCCCCACTAGGTGGACTTGAACCCCCAGCCTTTCAGTTAGCACAGGCACTTAACCATTTGCACCACCCAGGGACTCTATATCACCCAGGTGCTAAAATTCGATTTTAACAGATATTTATCTTTTAAATCGATTTATATTTCCCAAAATTGTGTACAACATGACTTCAACATAGTATAATGCTTTTATTTATGGCATTTATTTATGATACAATATAGGGTGGGATTTCTACCTTGACCAGTACAATGCTCTTCAGTCGGGAGCATAACTATGCAGAATGAAGCCACATTACAGCCTTGGGTCTAACAATGCTGCTTTTCACAATTCCTCAAGTTGGTATTTTTTGCTATATGCCCTTTGGTATCTATATAGACCCAGGAAGAAATGTAACACCAAGGTGCTCAATAAGACCCAGACCCTTCAGTGCTCATGGGTGGAAATCAAGAAGACAAAAGCTCATAAGGAACAGACAAGAAAGGGACCTGCAGGACACAGCGAGAAGACTGCAACTCTTGCTCATTTAACCTATCTTCCCTGTTATCTTGTGTCTCCTGCCCTCTGCCCTTGTTCCCTTTTCTTCCAACAGTGTGTTGTGTTGATATTGGGCTGGAATTGGGAAAGACTGGGAAGAACTGCACTGGGAGATGCGTTTTTCGTCACCTCGTAAAATGTCTGGACTCAACCGCCACCCTAAAGATTGGCAGTTGGAACTTAGCCAGTGGTACTAAAAAAGAAAAGCCCTGGCAATCTGCTTCTGTTAAGATTATAGCCTGTAACACACTATGGAGCAGTTCTACTCTGTAACAGATGGGGTCACAATGAGGTGGAATAGATTCGATGGCAATTAATGACAACCTATGTCTTGAACAAAATTTCCTTTTAGAAGGGCTTAAAACAATATGCAACCAACCTCCTTTTGGCCCTGTGACTGCTTAATGGTTATAAAATATTCCAGACAATGGCCAGCTGGATTGGTCTTCATCTTCTTTCAAGCTACTGCTTGCCCCAAAGGCCCTGATGACTAAAAGTACACAAACCTCCCACCATCCATTCCATCCATCTCCATATTCAAGGGGCATCACCCCTCCTCTGGAGCCAATTCTCTCTGATAGGTGCATTGTGAGTTGCTAAGCAATGGCCTCACCTTGAGATCCCTGTGGACAATGCCCATCCTGTGGAGATAATACACAGCATCCAAGACCTGGCGGATCAGAGTGCTGGCATCTTTCTCTGTGTAAAATCCCTTCTCCACTATCCGATCAAACAGTTCTCCACCAGATACACTGTTTAAAAAAAAAAAAGAAGACAAATTAAAAGTTGAAGACAACATATTAAATGTTGCAGGGAAAACAACAAGAACTTTCAATGTGATGATAGACTTAAACTTTATTTTTAAAGTGAATCCATTTTCAGACTTAGATTTTCTCCCAACTATTCCCAACAAGGGGCTCTCATGATGCCATGGTTAAAGCATTGGGCTGCTATACAAAAGGTCAGTAGTTCAAACCCACCAGCTGCTCCATGGGAGAAAGATGAGGCAGTCTGCTTCTGTAAAGATTTATAGCCTTAGAAACCCAATGGGGCAGGTCTACTCTGCCCTGTAAGGTGGCTATGAGTTGGAATCGACTTGATGGCAGTGGGTTTGGTTTGGGTTTGGGTGGCTACTTAAGATGATGAAGTTGAGATGACACCTGCATTTTGAGAAGTGAGTATTGCTTCAAATCTCGATTGCCTCTAGTTTGGGAAAAAGCTGCTAAATAAAGACTATGTTCCATCCTCTCTAGCAATACTGCTTGGGAACACAGACATGCCTAATATGTTGGCATATCCCCCAGGTTCCATCATCAATCCTTCTCCTCTTGACACACTCAGTGAGCTCCATGAAAGCAGGGATTTTGTTTTCTTCAATGTTGTGATCCCAGCCCCCAGAATCAACTTGATGGCAGTTTTCCCTACCCCCAAAAGCTATGTTAGGAAAGTGTTTCTATGACCCAAACACCACACTTGCTGCCACTAAGTCAATTCCAACTCATAGTGACCCTACAGAACAGAGTAGAACTGCCCCACAGAGTTTCCAAGGCTGTAAATCTTTATAGAAGCCGACTGCATCATAGTTTTCTCATGGAACTGCTGGTGGGTTCAAACCACTGACCATTTAGTTAGCACCCCAAGGATTTAAACATAATACCACCAGAGCTCCTTGTTTTTATGACATGTGGGTACAAATGCCCAGGAGAAAAATTAAAGGGATAAAAAAAAAAAAACCAGGACCCATGGTGTAGTCAGGCCAGAGAAGTCTCTCATAGCCTTGACCTTTGTTCTGCTATAACTCTGTAAAATCAAAATAACCTTTCTGATGTCAGCATCATCAGACATAGGGAGATGGTGCTGAGTGAGATGTCGCTTTGCATGAAAGCACCATCATAAAGGCTGGGGGGTGTTTTGCACAAAGCACTGGCCTGGCCAACAGGATCCTGGGTTCTTTACCAAGATCTGTTCCTAATTTGTTAAGTGCAGTGAATGAGCTCCTTGAATCTCCTTGGACCCCCATAAATGAGGGGATTAACAGTCAACTGAAGCTAACCATTTTCAACTGAGGGTAGTGACACATCTTCGGAGGTATCAGAACCTAGAACCTATTTGTGCTTTAAAACACCACCACCACCACCAACAAAATACCCCAACACTTTAGAATACTGTGTTGCTTTATTTTCGGGGATATTTAATTTTCATTTGCTTTGAATTTCAGATTACATTAAAAGAGAATTTCTGATATTTCTGGAAAGGGGCCTAGGCTGGAAAGGGTCAAGAAGCCCTTGTGAGCAACCACTACAGCCCCTTTTTCGTTGACATTTTATGCTGCTCTGAGTTTAACAAAGTAATGTTGTTATGTTGTTGTTATATGCCGTCGAGTCGGCCCCGACTCATAGCGACCCCTCCTTGGGTTTCCGAGGCAGTATCACTACGGAAGTAGGATTGCCCAACCTTCCTTCCGAGGAGTGGCTGGTGGGTTTGAACTGCCAGCCTTCTGGTTAGCAGTCAAGTGCCTTAGGCACTATGCTACCAGAGCTCCTAACAAAGTAATAGAATTGTGAAATCCTGAATAGCAACAACTAGCAACTTAACCTTTAAAACCTTAAAACATAGACTTCTCAAAGAAAAACACTAATTCTTTCAAATAATTAATCCATGTTGGAAATAAACTTCAAAGGGATATAGTGCAATATATATATATATATATATATTATATATATATATTTTTTTTTTTTTTTTAAAAAAAAGAAAGAAACAAATTTCGGAAAGCAAAATGAAAATGATTCATTTGAAATACTGAAATCAAACAGTTGCAAAAACAACTTTTATGGCTTTAATAGATAGAGTAAAAGATATTTCTTAGCAGTAGCACACAAATATACACAAACACCAAGACATGATTCATTTCCTGCAAGTCATGGCAATTAATGTGCAGTGACTGAGCCACTGAAATCTTCTTTTTTAAAAACCCAATAAAGAAGAAACAACTCAGCCATAAAAGGCCTATGTGTTAGAGACTCTTCTATTACCTATAGTCATTTCAGGCAATATTGTGCTTGGATAATGACATCATCTTGTTTCCAAAGCAAACTGAGCAATCTTGATAAGAAAGGAAAGGCACTCAGGAGAAATAAAAGGTGATTCAAAGAGTGCAAAGAAATGGAAACAACAGGGGAGAAACTACATTTTGATAACCATGTTGTCATCTGGATGGAAATGGTCCATCCGTAGTTAAACCCAGATCCCAAGACATCACCTCTTGGCAACTGATGACAAGTTCTGTACATTCCTCATTTATCTAGAAACTTCTCCAGAGAATTTCAATGTGTGAAACTTTTGCAGGCTTTGAGAATGGACTGTGTGAGATGTACTGCTGTGAGGGCAGGGTGAGCCTGGGTGCCTTGGAGGCGTTCACTTACTAATTTATGTAACTACTTAGGTCAACACTTACTGCCAGCAACATCATGTGCCAGCTACCTTGCACACTTGGTGACAATCAAAGCAGCATTAGCTGCGAAGGAGGAAAAGTCTGTTTTGATTGTCTCCCTCCATATCTCTACAAAGGAATGCCATCTTCCAATAACAGCACCCTTTACTAGTGTTCTAAAGGCCCCTGGGTGGCATAAACGGTTTGTACTTGACTACTAGCCCAAAGGTTGGAGGTTTGAACTGAACCAGAGGTGTGCTTCTGAAAGGTCACAGCCTTGAAAACTCTATGCAGCAGTTTTACCCTGCTCACAGGGGGTCTCCAGGATTTGGCATTAACACAAAAACAACAAACTGTGAGAAAAATCAAAGTTCCAGCCAAGAAAACTATGTAACACTTCAAATCTGTAACACATGGGGTCACCATTAGTGAGAAAAGAATCAACAGCAATTAACAACAAATCACACAAGTTTTCTAGTGCTTTCTTACCACTGGTCTGACTGCTACCTACCTCCTCTGCTCTGCATGTGACTGGGGGTCCTGAGCAAGAATGGTCAGCCCTCTACCACCCCTACCTCCTGCCCTTAGTATTCCATGGCCCACACAGCCCAAATCTTGCCTGATCCTCTCCTTCTCAAAAAACCTTTAAGCTCCACTGGCATAGCATAACACACAAAAACATTGTTCTACATCCTACTTTGATGAGTAGTGACTGGGGTCTTAAAAGCTTGTGAGTGGCCATCTAAAATGCAACTACTGGCCTCTCTTTATCCAGAGCAATGAAGAATGAAGAAAATCAAAATATATGCAAACAATTAGTCCAAGGGACCAATGGACCATGGGAACCTCAGCCTTCATGATCCCAAGACCAGAAAAACTAGATGGTCCCTGACTACCAATGCCAACCACTTCGAAAGAGATCAGAATTAGAGATCCTGGAGAGAGTGGGGAAAACATGTGGAACAAAATTCAAAAACATAAAAAAGATCAGAATTACAGGTCAGACAGAGACTGATGAAATCCCCAAGACTATGGTCCAAGTCACCTTTCAGCCCTGGAATTGGACTCACTGCCATGGCTCAACTCTCATCCATACAACAGAAAAGGCCATGAGATGAACAACTACACCAGGGAGATGCAGCTTTAGAACAGTCAACCATGGGCGATCAGAAGGGCAGCATTTGCACAGGGAGAAAGAAAGGCAGGCAGAAACACATAGGTAAGAACAACACAGGAAAGGGGTAACCACAGGGAGGAGGAGGAGGAGGAAGGCTGTTACTGTGGGGATTGTAATCAGTGTTGCAAAACAAAAGGTGTATGAAATATGGAATGTACAATGAATCTGCTTTGTAAAATTGCACACAAATCACAACAAAAGTTAAAAACAAAAACAGATCTGTCCGCTTTCTCATCTCTCAAGGTCTTCTTTTCTGCTACCTGATATATAAGGTATTAACCAATTCTATTGAGTAAAAATATTTGCACTGCAATAGGGCAGCACTGCAATGAGAATCGAATTGTCACTATTGAAGTATGAGACACTGCTACAGTATAAACTGTCACAGAATTTTAATGTTTTGTTCATTTTCTTCAAACAATTCCCAGAAAGAATTTGGTTTCCCTGGAAACTGAGGCACATGGGAAAAGTTTTAAAACTTGCCCATCTACAATATAACAGTACTAATAAAACCAGACGTATAAATCATTTTATAATTGTCAAAAACTTCCTGAAGCCTGCATTTTAAAAGTCCAATTATTCTCAAAACCACTTGTGAGGTAAGCAGGGCCAGTATTACTGTCTGAGAAACAAATGTTGCTTTGGAGTCAATTTTGACTCATAGGGACCCTACAGAACAGAGGAGAACTGCCCCATAGGGTTTCCAAGGTGGTAATCTTTACAGAAGAGGATTGCCACATCTTTCTCCTTTGGAGTGACTCATGGGTCTGAGCTACCAACCTTTCGGTTATCAGCCAAACAGTTAACTATTGTACCACCAGGGCAAAGCATCAGAATGAAGTTAGATGAGGCAGGAGTCCAGTGATTGGGGAAAAGGATTAGAAACAAAATTAATTAAGGGTAGCTATTGATAGAGAGAAGGAGTTCTGGTAGCACAGTGCCTAAGGGATCTGACTGGTAACCAGAAGGTTGGTGGTTCAAGCCCACCAGCCACTTTGCAGAAAGAAGACTGGGCAATCTACCTCTGTAAAGATTTATTGCCTTAGAAACCCAATGGGGGTTGCTATGAGTTGAAATGGACTCAATGGCAGTGGGTTTTTTTTTTTTTTTTTTTTTTTTTAATTGAGAGAAAGAGAGCCCCGGTG